ACTTTGGGAAACAAAAATGTTAAACACAAAATAAAAGTCTTAATAAAGACTGTTTCAAGAGAAATATATATAGAAAATATATATAATTTATATAAATTAAAAGGAAACTCCCTTTTTGTAAGTGGCCAAAGGCTCAAAAAATATATATACATATCAGAGAACTGCAACGAGTGTGTTCGACCACCCTTGCTGAAAATTCAATCAAATCAGATCTTTGCTTGGTTGCAAACGAGCACGAACGAGTTGAATACTCTCAGCATTTTTCTTATGATCGAACTTGCAATCTTTCCATTTTTACGAACAAGCACCGGTCTTGATTGGTTTGCTTTCGAGCACACCAGGCTCGTTCACTTTGCTTATTGCGGTCGGTTCGAACGAGTACCGGCCTTGACTGGTTTGCTTTCGAACAGTTCAGCCATTGCGCGAGTTGTACTCGGGTTTTCGCAGGTTTCACCCGAGTTTTACGGTCATACTGCATGTATGTACATATGTATGTATTTGTGCGTGCATGCGTTGCTTGCAATTATGCGCAAACATGTGTATACATATGTATGTGCGTATTTGCTTGTCTTGTGTTATTTAATATTGAATCTAAAAACAATCTTATGCATAAGCACTTTTCTTAGGTCAGACGCACTGCACACTTAGTAGAGAAATTTATCCTATACTTAAACATAATACAAATAAGCTTAGCGCAAGCTATCAATAGGTTGCAAAGCAGAGATACTGCTACTCGAAAAGGATGGCGAAAGAAAACCATGCTCTTTTCAATAAGCGAGCCTCAAAAGCTCGTCTTTGCTTTGAATCGGCTGTACGCTCTCATTCTTCGCACGTTTTGCATGTACTATGCCTCTATTCTATCTTGGTTTTCAGCCGTGTTAACTGTTCATTAATATAGATGGGAGCCGGAGAGTCAACCCCAAGCATTTGCAAGCTTAGTGGTTTTTTTTCCTCCCGAAGGTAAGCTGCAACTGACCTCAGCAAAGTGCTTTTCTCCTGAATATTATAAAATTTAATTATTATGTCGGCATCTACCTGGGACACGTACGTTTTCCCCCTCAACATGAGGGACACCGTGCACTCTCACATCACACGCCACATTTGCATTCAGCTGAAGAGCGAGTTTCACCACCAGCCCACCAACCCGATCCCTCAGTGAACTCAGCTCGCCAACCTCGCGCTCCAAGTTGTTAACCCTATTGTGAAGCGAATCCACAGTGTCTTGCAGCTTTTTCATCTCCCCAGCTAGACGCTCCAGCAGCAAGTGGTGAATACGCTGCTCAGCATATTGGATGTGATGAGGTTGGCCTGCTCCTCGAAGTGCAGATTGATCATAGCTATGATCTTGGATGAGAGAGCATCAGATTGACGGTCTTCCTTAAGCTCAGTATTGGTGTTTTCGCATTGCATGCAATTTTGTATTTGAGTTGGTATATGAAGCTGTGGCTGTGTGTTCGCGTTTTGCTATTGTAATGTGTACTTGTATTTTAGCGCGCGCTTAATGCTTCAGACGAAGATGTGAACTATTGTTATCAGTGCTTTTGTTTTGAGTTTTTCTCAGATGTATTTTAATTTATTGCAAAATGAAAGTTGTTTGGTGAAGCAAAACATTTATTAATTTTACAGTTTACGAAAGATGTTCAATTAACATTGACTTTTTGAAGTTATTTTTGAATTTTCCGGAGATAGTATTGGCAGCATGGAACCAAATCCAGGATATGCGTCGTCAGCTCAACATCGACTGGAAAAAGCCAGAGAACCAAAGCTTCGATTCCGCATGCTTCTTCGGGGCCCAAAGTCTACTGAATCAGTTTCTTTGCAAATAAGAGCCACAAGAACGAACGCCGTCTGGACAATCTGCAGACATCACCGTGCGGCTACCACAAATTACAATTCCACCGTTCGACGGACGCTATGTAATCTGGCCCGCCTTCAACGACCTGTTCCAGGAACTGATAAATAGGATAAAGCTGCAAAGCCCTCAGAAACAAACGATAGCAAAGCAATCCGGCTGCTCCACGACACCATCGTTAAAACGCTTAGCGCTTTGAAGCAGGTGGGCCTGGATCCAGTCGAACTCAAATGGGACAGCATGCTGTTATATATTCTAAGAAAAAAGTTGGATAGATTCAATTTAGTCCTACTGGAGCAAGAAACCAAGGACTCAACTGAATTGCAATCTGTTCCTGGACTTTCTTAACCGTCGCTTCCGAGCACTGGAGGTAACAAGGAACAGCAACCCACCAGACAACGCCACCACCGAAGCGGCAGTGACCAGAAAGCTAAGGTCTAAAAGAGCCTGCTGTTACTGCATGCTGACTGGCATGTGACGCACGTGGCCCGACGATGGGCCTGGGTTCGAGAAACTAACTGATGTCCTAAATGCATCATCACCACGCACAGCTCTCGGGAATGCTCAAGCAGACAGTGCTTCCGATGCCAACAGCCGCATCATACATTGCTACACAACGACAGCGGAATAACGGCGGCAGCAGTCATCAGCCAACCAGAAATAAACCAAGTATAAAGATAATTTGAGTTATAATTCTACACTTTCACAAGTCACTTGTGTCCAAATTTGAGCAGCTTAACTAACCATTTGGGCCGTGCGTTGATTGCACATACATACGTGTATCTTCATACAATAATTCCAATGTTGTTCCAATTTTTTAACAACAATTCATACCCCACCGTAAACCTAATGAAGTCCCAATGAAAAACAAGTGGATAAGCTAAAAATACTCTGTACTATACAAGTATGTGGACTAATTATAGAAATTTAAAGCAGGGACCGCAAATAATGATTATTTTGTTTTTTTTTTAAACGAAAAAATCATTCTCTTATAGTAACTTTTGGAAAGCGAGGAATTTACTGACATCCTTTTAAGGATTATCTATGTATTTTCACTATGATTTATAAATATTAATTTGTATTCATTCGCTCACAATTTAATGATTAATTTTGAGTTTTACTTTAAAAATTAACCAATAATCATTATAAATGATTATTCTTTGAGTTTTATTTTTTTGATCAAAAATAAAACTCAAGCTGAAATTTTGTCTGTTTCATAAGGATTAAGGACAAAATTTATATATATCCTTAATCAGTGAGTCAAGGGGAACATTTTTAATTAACTAAATAATTAATTTATTAATTAATTATTTTTAAAATCACAAATGCGAATGTATATAAAAAAATTAAGAAAATAAAAAAAAAATTGTGATCGATTTTACCTCTCTCGGTATTCGAACTCACGTAAAGGGTTTATAATTGCACATTTACATAGCATTTGCGTCTGTGTGAGTGTATGTATGCCTATGCGCAACTATTCGTGTCTGTGTAAACATGTGTGCAGTCAACCAAAGCACCAGCATCAACAACAGCCGCGGGCAGCGCTTGAGCAGCAAATATATTTATGGCTATAACTTCTCGTTAAATCGGTCTATCATAGTGAAACTTGGCATACGGACACATAATAACCAACTCGGGGTATTTCTAAAATTTTAGTTCGAAATTCCAAGAATTACGGGAGTTACGATTTGTGGTGTAGAGGGGGGAGGGAGGGAAATTCCAAAATATGCATTTTCTGCGTATTCACATAAGGCATCTGGGACTAAAATTTTGTGTTCCTAGGTCTTATAGTCTCCGATATATAGGCGATTATACGAATGGAAAATCGGGAAAACCCCCATAGGGGGGAAGTGGGGGGGGGGGGGGGAATCAAAAACATAAAACAAACTCGTATAGAATACACACATAAGGCATCTTTGTACAAAATTTGGTGTCTCTATCTCTTATAGTCTCTGAGATCCAGGTGTTCATATGGACGGACAGACTGACAGACGGAATATGATCAAGAATATATATACTTTGTGGGTCTGCCACGCCTCCTTCTGCCTGTTAAATTTTTCAGCTCCCGCAAACCTAATATACTACTGTACATTTCATGTACAGAGTATAAAAACCAGGTATGCAACTTTCTTTGTATTCTTTTATTGATTTTAGAAACCAAGTTTTAAGTCGATCGGTTGAAAAATGAGGATTTGTCAAACAAACTTTGGAGCTCGTTTTCCTCCCTTTGGAGCTTGAATTTTTCAAAATCACTTCTTAGTGGGAACCTTCGCTAGGATCCTTGAGCCCAAATTTCAGCTTCATAGCTCTTGCCGTTTGGGCTGTGGGCTGTTGACGCGGTTTCCTTTTGTGCCCCATTTTTTTTACAGGAAAACTCCCATACTTCAGTCCCCAAAAAAAATTTCAAAAAACCAAGTATACAGTTTATCTTGGAATTTTTCTGAGAGTAAACAAACTAAGTTTAAAGTTAAACAGATGAAAATTTTAGATTTTGCAAAATCCCTTCTTAGTGGGCACCTACACTATGAAAGGATACTTGAGTCCAAATTTCAGCTTCCTAGCTTTTACCGTTTGGGCTGTGCGTTGATCACCAATCAGTCAGTCAGGACAAACTGTTTTATATATATAGAGATTTGAGTTCAAAATTCCAAGAATTACCGGAGTTAGGAAAAACACGAATTGCGGGGGTGTGGGGGGGGGGGGGGGGGTGTATCAGAAAAAAAACACAAACTCGATCTGCCTAGGGCTTAGGAGAACCTCAATGCCAAGTTTGGTTATTGTACTTGCTGAGATACATACATACAGACAGACGGACAGACCGACGGTCGGGCGGACATAGCTATAACGATTTGTCTTGTCATCCTGATCAATAATATATATACTTTGTGTAGTCTGCCACGCCTTCTTCTGTGTGTTACATACATTCGCACAAAACAAGTATAGCCTTTCACGCTTTGGGTACCGGCTATAAAAAGGTCAATCAAGAGCGCAGCCGCATGTTTTGCCATATGACACACACCGAGGGGAAATTTAGAATTGTTTCGATATTTTGGGATCTTATTAATGCACATTTGCAAATATGTAAATATATTGTACTGTTTCATAAGATTCGCTAATGCCTTAACCTTTTCTGTTATTTTACACACAGGTATGTCTTTAATGGAAGGATCGGAGGACATCTTTTTGGAACTACGCGAAAAGCTTTTACCTACGTTTATACGTTCTTGCTGCTTTTGGTTGCCTGTACAAGCTTTAAATTTTCGGCTTGTATTGCCACAGTATCGTATAATCTATATGGGTATTTGTGGCTTTATTTGGGTTAATATATTGTGTTGGACCAAGCGGGAAGGTATTAAGGACCAGTCATTACGGACGAAGCCCAATGTGACAAGGTAGTCAAAACTAAGCAGCATGAAAATCAATCCGATAATAATAATGATGCTATTTTTATAAATGTAATGAAAAAAAAATCCCAAAATTAACTTATATTTGCGAGTAAATAAAATGTATCTAATAACAAGTAAAAAAGCTAAAGTCGGGTGTCCCGACTTTGAAATACTCTGTACATATGTTTACAATAATTATAGAAAAAAAAAATGAAGAAAATTTAAAAAAATTTGATCGATTTTACCTTTCTCGGTATTCGAACTCACGTAAAGGGTATATAATTGCACATTTACATAGCAATTTCGTCTGTGTGTATGGCTATGCGCATCTATGTGTCTGTGTAAACATGTGTGCAGTCAACCAAAGCACATCAACAGCCGCGGGCAGCGCTTGAGCAGCGCTGCAACAGCAAATATATTTATGGATATAACTTCTTGTTAAATCGGTCTATCATAGTGAAACTTGTCATACGGACACATAATAACTATCTGGGGGTATTTGCAAAATTTTAGTTCGAAATTCCAAGAATTACGAGAGTTAGAGAAAATCGCAATTGCGTGGTAGAGGGGGGAGGGAGGGAAATTCCAAAATATACATTTTCAGCGTATTCACATAAGGCATCTGGGACTAAAATTTGGTGTTCCTATAGTCTCCGAGATATAGGCGATTATACGAATGGAAAATCGGAAAAACCCCCATAGGGGGTATAGAATACACACATAAGGCATCTTTGTGCAAAATTTTGGTGTCTCTATCTCTTATAGTCTCTGAGATCCAGGTGTTCATACGGACGGACAGACGGACAGACAGATCGACTCGTCTCGTCATGCTGATCAAGAATATATATACTTTGTGGGGTCTACCACGCCTTCTTCTGCCTGTTACATTTTTCAGCTCCCGCAAACCTAATATTCTTCTATACATTTCATGTACAGAGTATAAAAATTGAATTAATTATCTAAATTAATAAAAAAAATTTATTTAATACATATACAGAAGACACGTTTATGTTCAGTTTTAACAGCATACATTTACATAACGTGTCTATGCGTGTTTATATGTGTGTATGTATGCAGCACAAAGTTGAACCAAAGCAGTAACAACAGCTGCGGGCAGAGGTGGAGGCAGCTCATGGGCAGCGATTTTATTTATGGCTATCATGATAAATCTTGACACACGGACACATAAGCTCTAACTGGATGTAACTACCAAAATTGATTTCACAAGAGAGAACGCTACAGTCGAGCAAACTCGACAGTGTAATACCCTGTACTCAGGTAAACTTCCGTCACTGAGTTATATGCGCCCATAGCAGCAGCAAAAAGAGGAAGAAGAAGAGCGAACTTGTTGCTGCAGTTTGGGGGGGGGGGGGGGGTTGTACTGGCGAGAATTTGTTTTGCTAATAACTTAGCATTGACCGAATTGAATAAAATTTTGAACAACAATAGACAATTATATATAAATTATGCGTGCAAAGGTTGGTTTATGTAGCATTTGAAATGTGGACGCTATTGACGAAATTCTGTAGCGGGGGAAGGGGGGGAAAATTAAAAAAAATAAAATAAACTCGTCCTTTCTCGGACCTAGGAGAATCTGGATGCCAACTTTGGTTTTTCTAGCTTTTACAGTTTCTGAGATCCTTGCGTTCATCCAGACGGACGGACAGGCGGACAGGCGGACAGACGGACAGACATGTCTAGATCGATTTCTCTCGTCATGCTGATTCAGAATATATATACTTTATGGGGTCGGAGATGCTTCCTTCTGCATGTTACATACTTTGCACAAACCCAATATACCCTTTTTACCCTACGGGTACAGGGTATAAAAACACGGGGGGTGTATCAGAATAAAACAAGAGAGAACTCTACAGTCGAGCAAGCCCGACAGTGTAATACCCTGTACCCAGGTAAACTTCCGTCACTGAGTTATATGCGCCCATAGCAGCAGCAAAAAGAGGAAGAAGAAGAGCGAACTTGTTGCTGCAGTTTGTGGGGGTTGTACTGTAGAGAATTTGTTTCGCTAATAACTCTTCTCAGAATTGACCGAATTGGATTTTAAACAACTGTAGACAATTATATATAAATTATGTGTGCAAAGTTTGGTTGAGGTAGCATTTGAAATGTGGACGCTATTGACGAAATTCTGTAGCGGGGGAAGGGGGGGGGGGGGGGGGGGGGAAATTAAAAAAAAAATAATAAACTCGTCCTTACTCGGACCTAGGAGAATCTGGATGCCAACTTTGGTTATTCTAGCTTTTATAGTTTCTGAGATCCTCGCGTTCATCCAGACGGACGGACATGTCTAGATCGATTTCTCTCGTCATGCTGATTCAGAATATATATACTTTATGGGGTCGGAGATGCTTCCTTCTGCATGTTACATACTTTGCACAAACCTAATATACCCTTTTTACCCTACGGGTACAGGGTATAAAAAATAAACTTGACCTGCCTAGGGCTTATGGAAATCTAGATACCGAGTTTGGTTATTCTAGCTCTTGTACCTTCTGAGATCCTTGCGCTTATACAGACGGACGGACAGACGAACATGGCTATATCGACTCGGTCTGCCACGCCTCCTTCTGTGTGTTACATAAATTCGCACAAAACTAGTATAGCCTTTTACCCTTTGGGTACAGGCTATAAATTGTGGCGCTATCTATATGCCGACTGGTGCGTTAGAATCTGCTATCTTTATCGATTGTCCAGTGAGAATTTCATGACATTTCATCGATTGGAAGTGAAGGTTTTGCATTTTAAGTGTCAGTATGTTTGTGTTATCGGTGCAAAAATGAGCTTCGAACAAAGAGCCAACATTAAATTTTGTTTTAAAATTGGTAAAACTTTTACCGAAACGTTTCAATTGATGGAACAAGTTTATGGCGATATTGCCTATCCCGTAGCAGAGTGCACGAGTGGTTTCAACGTTTTCAAAGCGGTCGTGAGGACATAAATGACGATCAACATGTGGGCCAATCAAAATTCGTGATCACCGAAAATTCCATCGAAACTGTGCGTGAATTCACCAAAAATCAGCCGAAATCATCATTGAAATTGATGGAAATGGAATTGAACATCTCCAAAACATCGATTTATCGCATTTTGTACCTAACATTTGGGCTTACGAAAGGTGTATGCACGGTTTGTTCCGCACAAATTAAATGACGACCAAAAATTGCTCAGAATCGATCGACGCTTGTGACCGATTATTTGACCAAAAATCACATTTTAACCATTAACCACTCGCCGTATTCACCTGATATTCGGAAAAATGCATTTGCCCATGAAAGGAAAGCGTTATGCAGACGTAGAGGCCATTCAAAAGGCTTGCACCGGCATACTGGCGGCCATACCGGTCAACGAGCTAAAACACTCGTAGGACATGCTTTTGAATCGTGCAAAAAGCTGTATTGAAGCAGAAGGAGACTATTTTGAATAAAGTAAATTGATTTTGTCAAAAAAAACCATTTGTTCTGTTTTTTTTAAAAGTCCTGTTTACTTTGGAACATACCTTCTACATACAGTCCTCATTTATTAGTGCAACCCGTTCGAAATTCCTCAGCACGCTTCACGCGTGGTCTAGTTATTTTTAATTATTTTTATTTTATTTAGTAAATCAACAAATAGTGTTGTCGATACACATACAAAAACTATGATTTGTGTTATAATATAATATTATAAAATAAAATAAAGGTACATATTTAATAATACGTTATAATTTCAATTTTCAAAAGATAGGAAAGTCTAAGAAAAAGCTATACAATGACGTTGTTCGCGCAGAGGAGAGCTCACTGTCCGCTAGTCTTCGGCTGCCGACATCAATTCCACCACACCGGCGACCACATAGCATAGGCTTAGAATAAGCTTAGATTAGGTTTAGTTTTTAGTATTCTTCTTGTACTGCAATTGTGAAGTTTGCGCATGTGCGCACCCAAAGTGAAGTATGACTTGTGAACTTTTATTGAAGGAAATAAACCCTACATCAAATCAAACCATCCAATTTGTTCACATTTTCATGGTCCTTCGAGCCGGATTATCCAAGAATCCCCTCGGCCCAGCAAGCTTTGGTGGATTAAAAGTTAAGTACCCAATTGCGATTTATCCATTCAATATTATTGCTAAGCCGTTCAGCCGTCTCAAGTGCGTTTCCAAAAGGTAATTTCCAAGTGCAAGTGCCAGTGCAATCCAAAGAAAGGAAAAATTGGAGCGGCTTATATGCAGCTTATGTATATTTTACATATATCTAGATATATAAGTCTCCATACTGTTTTCCCTGCTTTTGAGAGGGAGAGACTCGCGTGAACTCCGAATTTCCAATTCAAACTCGGCCGTGTTGTTAGTTCCAAAGATCTTAAGTGTCAACCGTGTATGAGCGATTTATCTAAGCCGCGCACTGCACTTGCACAGTTTCCTTAAATTAAACACAAAATTCGAAGTAGCAAATTGCAAATTGCAATACTAGTAGCAATAGTAGCAATACTATTCCTCACACAGCTCAAACCAGCTACACACATATTTTTTTGGGCTTCTTTCGTTTGTGTTGTCCGCTAGACTTTGCAGCGCTTAAGATAAGCCCGCTCCTCTGCCCGTCCACATTCTCACCACGCCTTCGCTCTTCGGCCGTTCTTATCGCTCTCTGGCGCTCACACCCACACACATACACACAGAAAAACGTAAATTTGAGCGCAGCTGAAACAATAAGCGTATAGACTGACCGCCAGCTGTTCCTCTCTGCAGCGTTAATGATGCGCATACCCTATAAGGACCGGGTGTTGCGATTTGTATACCCTGTACCCAAAGGGTAAAAGGGTATATTAGTTTTGTGCGAGTGTACATGGAACACACAGAAGGAGGCGTGGCAGACCCCACAAAGTATATATATTCTTGATCAGGATGACAAGCCGAGTCGATATAGCCATATCCGTCTATCCGTCTGTCTGTCCGCCTGTCTGTATGAACGCAAGGATCTCAGAAATTATAAGAGCTAGAATAACCAAACTTGGTATCTAGATTCTCCTGAGCCCGAGAAAGGACGAGTTTGTTATTTTTTTCTTAATATCCAGAGAGACCAGGTCAAGGCGTTATGGGTCCAAATAG